TTCCGATATATCGAACCGTACCCAGGGTACCCTCCGATAGTACCCTGGGGGACATAGACCCTCTCAGCTATACTATAGTGCACGCCGGTGTGCCGCGGGGGTGAGTCACGATAAAACCGTGACGTGACGTTTCTTCCCGCAGCCTGGTTCGACACGGACGACTCGCTGCCGTCGCCGCTACCGGCTACAGAGGCGCCACCTCTGCCTATGTCAGCGCCTCCGCCGCTGCTCAGCAGCCCGCTGAGCCCTACAAGCAAGATGGCGTTCTACGATCGGTCGTCGTCCAACCCTGTGTAAGCTGTCGGTGACATCACACTCGCGCGCGTAGAATAGTGATAGTAGACTTGGAGCCTGGGGTCCGTCGACAAAAACACGACAACGACAATTTTTTTTATAATGCCTTTATTTACAGATATGTTAGCAACATGTTATAGCCAATAGAATACATACTTGTACACATATAGACAATTTGAGTACATATATAGACAATTTGAGTACACATGTAGACAATTTGATGACAGAAACATAATTAGTCGTAACATATTGGTCTTTCATTCTTCATCGTAACATTAGTTGTAACATAACCTTTTCCTTGTAAACCAGACCTCTATACAATGCGCATGATAAACTCTAAACACGTAACTTTGCCGTCATTTTTTTCGTCAAACGGTCTCTGAGCAGAAGTTAGTGTTAAGACTAATTGTTAAGACAAATTATTAATCTAACAATTAATTAATAATTTTTTTTTGTTAATTTTTGAACCCTTGACCCTCCCGGGCAGCTCTCGTGGTCGGGTTGAGCGGATGCTCGCTTGTTTGCACACTGATTGTAGTTCGCATTCTTGCAGCAAGAGGTCGCCGTCGTTGACCTCTGACCCTGAGAAGATAGAGCGGCAGAAGACGCTCGATGAGAGCTTACGTCAGCGGCGCGAGCGACAGCGACAAAGCATGTTCAATTGGCAGTCGCAGCCCGAGGTAGGTGGCGCCACTGTCGCGGAGATAGCGGGTAGGCGGCGAGGGTCGTGTAGGATGGGTGGGTGTTCGTCCGTGATCGGTTTTTGCTGGGGGTTGTTCACGAGTTGAGTGTTTGTACTGTTACCATGGTTTGCTGGTTGTGTGTGTGTGCGTGTGTGTGCGTGTGTGTGTGTGCGTGCGTTCGTGCATGCGTACGTGTGTGTTGTGTGTGTGTGTGTGTGTGCGTGTGTGCGTGCGTGTGTACGTGCGCACGTGCGTGTATGTGTACGTGTGTGTTGTGTGTGTGTGTGTGTGCGCGCGTGTGGGCATGTGTGTGTGCGTGTGCGTGCCACGTGTGTCTGTGCGTGCGTGCATGCATACGTGCATCCATGTGTGCGTGTGTGCGTGTGTGCATGCGTTCGTGCGTGCGTGCATGCATCTGCGTACATACATCTGCATTCACATACGCTGGTTTCTCTCAGGACACCCAGAGCCCGGATGAGAACGGCTCGGAGAAGGAGCGCATGATCATCGCAAACCTGGAGCAGGAGGAACGAAGGAAGCCGCAGCCCAAGGTAGCCAGCACGAGCTTCGAGGAGGAGGTAAGCTGCTGGGGAGGGTGTGAGGGGAGGGGTGGGGTTCATACTGAGGGGGAGGGGTGGGGTTCATACTGAGGGGGAGGGGTGGGGTTATACTGAGGGGGAGGGGTGGGGTTCATACTGAGGGTGTGGGGAGGGGTGGGGATCATACTGAGGGGGAGGGGTGGGGGCATGCTGAGGATATGGGGGAGGGGTGGGTATTCCAGTTCCCATCTCAGTTTTACATGCTGTTCCGTGTTTCACTAGTCATCGTCTTGCATGCACGGGCCTGTCATGGAAAAATCTCACTAAAAACACGTTTTAATTGTTTCTTGTAGCCTGCACAGAGGAGGGTTGTCAAGGTAACCATTGTCAACAGCTCTCTTTTACTAACATTGTCATCTTCTGCATTCTCTTGTGCCGTCATGTCTTGTCTGTTTCTCGTGAATCCTTCCTCATCTCACTCCAGGGTTCCCACAGCCCTTAAAAGCCATTGAATTTTGTCCGTTGTCATTGAAAGTCCTTGAATTTTGTCCTTTGTCATTGAAAGTCCTTGAATTTTGTCCTTTGTCATTGAAAGTCCTTGAATTTTGTCCTTTGTCATTGAAAGACCTTGAATTTTGTCCTTTGTCATTGAAAGTCCTTGAATTTTGTTCTTTGCCATTGAAAGTTCCTAATTTTTCCTTTTGTCATTGAAAGTCCTTGAATTTTGTTCTTTGTCATTGAAAGTCCTTAATCGTTTCCTTTGTCCTTGAAAGTCTTTAATTTTTCATTTTGTCATTGAAAGTCCATTCCACTTGCCTGCTGGTCGCGCATCGTACGTAATGCATTCTATCTCACGCCATCTCGCTCGAATTGTGTCTGCTTCGGCTGTGCCCTACTATTGCTGAAGGGGTCGTTGTCGTATATGTAGTACCCGAGGTGTCGGCGAGTATGTCGC